CAGATGTCTGTGATCTAGGTCAAGGTCACTTACTAAAAATAAAAATTCACACTCCGCTCAATAACTTGAGTTTTCTTTGGCCTTTTGACATCAAACTTGGTGTATGGATAGGTTAAATCAAGAGGCAGCTTGGGATTGTTACCCAGGTGTCTGTGATCAAGGTCAAGGTCCCTGTTACTAAAGATAGAAATTCAGTTTCTGGTCAATAATTTGAGTTTGCTTTGGCCTATTGACACAAGAGGCAGCTCAGGATTGCTACCCAGGTCTGTGATCAAGGTTAATGCATTAAGTTTTCATGTTATAACTTGAGTTTGCTTTGACTTTTTGACACCGAACTTGCTGAGTGGCAGCTTTGGATTGCCACTTAGATATCTGGGAGCAAGGTCAAGGTAATTTGCTTACAATAGAATTTTCAGTATCTACTCATTTACTTCAGTGCACTTTGACCTATGGATTGTTTGGTCGTTGAAAACCTGGTTTTCATCGCATTGCAGCGCTTCTTGTTTCTTTTGATATTTAACCTGTCTGTGAGCCAAAATTCATGCAGTTTAAGACATGGTTAAGGCATTTATGGCAATAAACAAGGGGAAAGCACTACCTAATTTTAGAGTTGTCTCCCTTAAAAAGAAAAAAAACTTGTTATACCTTACAGGGTTACATTCAGATATTTGACATGCTGTGTTTTCATGTTTAAAAACTACGATGGAAAAGTCCATTTATGATATTTAGCATGGAAAATGATGGATATAACCTTCAAATATGTTTCATTATCTTTATTTGCTTCTTTCTTTTGAATGAGATAAAAAGTAGTTAAAAATAAAAATATAAAAATAATTAAATGATTTGAATAGTCACATAGTGTAATTATCACAAATCTATATAAATGCCCAAATGACCAGGGGTCTGAAGTTTTAGTGGTTACTATTTCTTCACAACCAAGAGAAAACGAGTCTGATCCAAGCATAACAGTAAAACATATGATATATGGTGAACTATTTTCTAGATTCCTTAACCTGTATCCTCCTGCAGAAAGTGGTAAAACCACCTCCTTCATATCATTTTTACTACCAAACTTGTGATATTTTATTTGAATAACTTTATCACTGACATCAGAATTCCCATTCCAATTCAACACGACCCAGTTTTGACCAATCTCTGATACTTTCACTTCTATTTCTTCTTGAAATTTATTACTAAAAGGCGTTCTTTCATTGGGCGATTTTGAATTACTTTCATCCAATCCAATGCATTTAAAGTCATTATCCTCCAAAGAATCCCATGACTTCCCAGCTACATTACTAGGTGAATTGCAAACTGGTATGAATTTTTGTGGGTCTAATCTGTCAACAAAGTTAAGCAGATATTGCCTTGTGCTAAATAAGTCTTTTAACCACAACTGGTCACATGTACATTTGAATGGATTCTGTCCGAGCAAAAACACAGTTTGTGGATACAAAACAGAAGAAAATGTTTCTGGAATACTTGAAATCCTATTACTGGAAATGTCAAACCACTCTGTCATTGGTAGTTTATTTGGTAATGAAGTTAGCTGGTTGTGAGATAGATCCAGGTATCTGAGATCTTGCATTGATACAAAAACATCATCAGGTAAGCTCTTTATATCATTAAAAGACAAGTCAAGTTTTTCTAAGTTTTCAAACACCATGAAAGCGTCCTTTTCAAAGTTATTGACACCGTTGTGGCTAGCATTTATAACTAGCAAATTTTTACACATATTTCGTTTGAAATTCCGAAATAAAGAAAAATCTTTTATTCCAGTGTAACTTATATCTAGCACATGAACCTTTTGGTCAGAAAGTTTTGTAAATGTGATTTCATTAATAATCACTCCTGAACAATTCAAGGTAACTCTTTCCTCTACCCTATAAAGATGACAGTCATTATTATCTCCCTTGGTGTCATCAGATGATAAATCGTTCTCTTTGAATGTTGCCATGGTTGCAGCAACAAACATCAGACTAGATGTCAGTAAGACAACATGGGCCATTTTCTTCATGAAGTTGACATCTGCAGTCTGAAACATGAAAACAAAATCTTCAAATATGATAGCTAGTAGATAAGAGTCTCAGATGTGTAATCACAAATTGTTACTGTGTCTTACAGACTACAAATCTATGGTGCTTATTATCTTTATATTAACAATTCAAGTACATGTAGTATATGAAGGATTATGTACAGTGTAATATTTGCAGATTGGCCCTCTCAGAGACATAGATAACAAAGATAGGCAACTTCCTAGCCAGTTAAGATATCATGCATGCTTGCTAAACTTAAAAATTGTAGCAAGTAAAACTTATCAAATAACAAGATATAAAAATCAGAAAAAAATAATAAAGTTTCTGAAAGCTTATGTATTTGTGTATGGCTGCAGGTAAAAACATTTGCAATTCCCATTTATATAAATAAATCAATTTCTAAAGAATTAATTTTTGTTACAGCTTAGGAACTGTTCATATGATGAAAAAACTGGCTACTCTGTTTTTCTAAGTGAAAGACATGGAAAGTTACAATTATTTTAACATGCAGCAATAGATAAAAGATTTGACTTTTAAATTGTATATTATACACATGTATATGGATAAAATGTACATCCATTAAGTTTTACTTGCTACAAAATGCCTAATTTTTCACTTTTTGATAGGCATGATGATGAGTGATATTTCAATAGAGTATATAGGAGCTGCTTATCTCTGATATCTACATCTCTGGTCCTCTGTAGACCAATAACCTCTTTACAACAACAGTATCAATTCTTCTATAGATATTAAGTCTTCACAACAAATTTAACATCTTTCGAGTGGATTAAAATCTTGAGCTCTTAACCCATTACTTCATGAGCATTTTGTGAAAAATGGCTGTTTTCATTGAAAAGTCTCGCGTTACAAGTTCAAATTGCTATAATACTATAAAAACTGCTTCAACACTAATCAAACTAATGGCACAAATGTTGACTGGACCATTGCCCTTGCAACACCATGCTCAGGCTTAAATTTTCTGTTACCATGGCAACGAGGGGACATCTCAAAACTGCCAAAAATCACTATTTTGCGTTGATTTTTTCCATCAAAATTGATTTCAAAGTGCTGCAACTTCTCAATGGATTGAGATAGAGTCAAATGCTTTTCAGCGTTGGTTACACGTTACCTTATGATCAATCTGGGGTCATTTATAGCCTCTCACAAGTCCAAAATTTTCTTGGGTTGGGGGGCCGTGCCGAAAAAGAGGTCACTTTTTTTAACAACATTTCTCAAACAAAAACAAGTGTTGGGGGCCTAAATAAGGCATTTTTTCACCATTTTAGACAGCAAAATGGGGGGGGGGTGAAAAAGGCGTTAAAAGGCGTGTATATAATGTAATGGGTTAAAGGGTTTTGCTCCACAGAGGTAAATGTACTGTTATAGAACAATTACATGTAGAATTACAATAATGAAACTGTTGAGACAAGATCAGACCTTGCTTGGACAGTGCGCACAAAAAAAGACCTTGAACATTGCATTCCAATATTGGCTCACTCGTAGGAAGGGGCGTACTGTGAAACAGGGTGGACCTAAGTAGCTAACACTACTTTTAATTGTGTGAGCAATGTTGATAATACCAAATATAAAACATGCTGTCAATGAATTTGAATAATATTTGACATTAAAATCAAAGTAGGCCCCATATAATAATCTACAGTCTGTCTTGGTAAGGTCCACTCAGTGGCAAGGTCCGCTCTGTCCTTAAATCTTCTCACTCACTGCTGGATAGTTAAAAAAACGCAACATAGAAAAGGGGATATAATTCTGCACAAAAGGTTTACAAGTCACTTACCTGGCCTTGATCAGTGGATACAACAATGTAAAGGTTTATCAGTTAATAACAGAAATGATTTTCACCACTTAGTACTCTTACTTTTTAGTCTCTTAATCTTAACAGCTTAAGTTAACACGGAGGCATCTGTCATTTTTCATATCCCACTTTATGTAGAATAGATTTAACAGTGTTAAATGAAATAAGGACAGATTTCCCTGTGAAAGTGAACTGGTGTCAGTGGTGAAGTTGCAAGTCGACTATTGAGTATTCTGGTTTACAGACACTTCACCCCCCAGACACTTCACCCTAGGCCCTTTTTTGCAGACACCTCACCCCTTAGACAGTTCACCCCTCATTTTAAGAAATTTGATTAAGACACTTCACCCCCCATTTTTTTTATTTTGTGTTCAACAATACTTTATGTTCAAAAATGTCAAATGTATTCAAAACAGTAGTGAGTGAGTATGTTTATTGTCTTAACAAATGTTATATATTATTTTATAATGTAATTGACCAAAGACAATGGTTATAATTGTTGTTTTTGCACTACAAAAAGGCTCATATCACAAAGTTGATAGTAAGTAAATTTTTGTTATTTATTTTTATATAATTAATACTAATTTCAATTTATGTGTAAGTGATATAACTAATTGAATAATCTTTCTATTGAAGTGAACCTTTGTGTGATTTTTCCTTTGATATATTTTAAGTATATAATCTTTTTGACACACTTCCTTTGTTAATGACATTATGGATGATCTTTGTATTAAATGCAGGATAATTGTGTCTGATAATGATGCTGCAGTTGATTGTGATAAATGTGGGAACTGGCAACACATAGCATGTGATACCGGTAAGTTTATTTAATTTGTTAGCAACTTCTTAAAGTTATAGGTAAATACAAATTGTTCTTTTTTTATTCATTACAATAAGTGGATAAATAATTTTTGTATATTTTATCAGAGACATAGGTAACAGAGATAGGAAACTTCCTATCCAGTTCAGATATCACATGTGCTTATTAAACTTAAAACTTATATCAAGTAAAACTTATGAACCAGTTTCTAAAAGCTTATGCATTTGTCTATGGCTGACGGTAAAAAATAAACAGTTCCAATTTAAATAAATGATACATCAATTTTTACAGAGAACTACTTATTGATTTTTGTTACAAATCTATTCAAATGATGAAAACAATGGTAAATTTTGCTATGTATGGTGAAAGGCAAGGAAAGTTACCAATATTTTAAAATGCAGCAACAGACAAAATATTTAATTTTCAAATGGTGTATAATATAAAAGGATCAAATGTACATCCATCAAATCTTATTTGCTACAAAGTGCCTAATTTTTCACTGTTTGAAAGGCATGAGTGATATTAGTTCAATTGAGTATATAGGAGCTACTATCTACATCTCTGATTTCATAAAGCAATTCATTCATTCGTTCTTATTTATTTATTTATTTATTCATACATTTTTTTTTTCACACAGTAATACCATTTTAATCCAATTATCTAATCAATTATGAGATAACTGTTGAATAAACAACCAATCAACATGTTGAATAAACAAGGTGACATGCAATAAACATTTAATGGATGAAAGTGCCTTGCATAACATTGGGCAATACAATGTATAAACAGCTTTAACTGCTTAAAAGCTTTTAAACTGCTTAAAAGCTTTTAAACTTTATAAAAAAAAAATGAGAACTGCAGTATGTTTATGTTATAATTTATATTAAATTTTTTTTTATAAACTATACTATGTATTCATGTATTAAATATAAATTTCACAGACCTGTATAACAGGAGTTGGGCCTGAGTACTACATATCGTGAACGGGGAACAGTACACACTATCATAAGCAAGCTGCTAGCCTTGCCGTTCTTACCAGGTGACCAGATCAAGAGAGCTTTCACCAAACTGAAAGAGAGAGCAGACACAAGCAGTAAACCAGTGGCTGATCTTTTTACATATGTCAATGACCGATGGATGGAGAATTCTTGTTGGTCCCCAGAAGAGTGGTCTGTGTACAAGCAAACCGTTAGAACAAACAACGATACTGAAGGTATTGAGTAAAAGTATGAAATTGCATCTTTAATTCAAGAGTTATCTCCTCTTTAAGAATTTTGCTTTAAAATGTTATATTTTGGTAACAGGGATGTTTCAAATATTAACTTTAGAGTGTCCTTCAGTCCGTCTGTCTGTCTGTTCATAAAAACTGTTTCCTGTGATCACTTTTAAAGAACTTTTCCAACAAATTTACTTAAAATAGAGAAAAATTGAAACATTAGTGAATGGCCAATGGCCCTTCAGAATGTTGATGGGGTTCTAACCGGTAGGGGACTTATGGATTGCTTGCAATACTATGATAATTGCTTGTTTAATATGTGTTAACAAAATATGTTTATTATTATTAATCTTTTAAATTTTACTTTTTAGGTTACCACAGAGGACTGAACCACAAAGCTGGCCGGGGGAAACTCGCCTTCTATGTGCTAATACCAATCCTTCATCAAGAGGCTAAGATGGTAGACTACACAGTGAACCTGGTAGCACAGGAGATCATATGCCGTATTCGAAGAGCTGTCTATCAGTCACTAGACAAAAGAATATCGGAACTATGGGATGACTACGATCATCATGAATTGAGGACCGAGGAATTCTTGCAGAAAGTGGGTGAAATCTATGGACGGTTATGAAATTGTGGTTTTTCGAACCAGTAACAGATACTGGAAATATGTGCTAAAAAGTGCTAACAGGATATCCAGTGTTTAACACTGTTGCAGAATAGAAAATGTCTGTGAAGGTCTCCTCTGACTGAAACTGTAAATAAATATATATATACATGTACATGTGTGTGTTCTCTCAATGTTATGTTTCAATGATATAATATATATAAGTGTTTGTCAGCTGTAAATTGTTGTTCATGTTAAATGTTTTATTCCATGTTAAATGTAAACGAGTTAAATAAATTATTAATGTTTTTTTATTTTGTCTACCCTTAGAAATGTCTGTAAATTGTCCTTTAATCAAATAATACTAAAAAATAATAAAAAACATATCAAGGCATTATGTTGTTGACTTATTTACTTTATATAAAAAAAATGGATGAGGGGTGAAGTGTCTTAGGGTATTTTGGGGGGTGAAGTGTCTTGAGGGGTGAAGTGTCCTCAAAATTTGAGGGGTGGAGTGTCTTGATACCGAGTATTCTCAGGAAAAAAATGAATGACAACTTATGCTAAGGAACAAAAGTCATACCTAATACAATGTACATGTATTTCAGATATTACAAGATGATAACAGTCTCTTTTGACAAAAAATAATCACTTTGTTGACACAGTGGTAAATTTGATAAGAGTAGTGTCCCTTAGATCATAGAAACGCTTGAAATCAAGCGGTGAGCAAGCGCTTCGGAGAAAAGATCATTCAGGAAATTCGTCATTTTTATTGGTAAATTTCTTGACAAAATGGCTTAATGTAGGGCATATTGTATTGCTAAGTGTTCATAGATTATTTTTAACATTTTCGTCTGATTACACAACCATCTTTTCATAGTTTATTGCATTTGTTTCATTCCACGAACTTGAATAGTAGCCGGATAGGGTACAGTAAAGAGTGAGATCGGGCCTGGACCAACTTGGCACGGGTTAACACGGGCAACTTAAAAAAAACCAACATATGAAATGTATAAACTTTTTTGAGATTACTTGCATGTTACCAAGGCAAGCTGTTGTAAATGTCTGGTATATTATTATTATCCCTGTTTCTCATATTATCGTGGTTTCTCGTAATTTCATGGAATTATTAAAATGGATGGAAGCGACGCTCGTGCTTCCATCGATATCCGAAAAATTGTCGATTTAGCAGAGCTTTTTCATCTCTGGCAAAAATAAAAAAAGATATACTACAAATACAGATAAAAAACAAAATAGCTGGGGAAATTATCGTAAAATCCAGAGAAAAAAAACATAAAATTTATTTGTTTCACCCCCCCCCCCCAAAAGAAATCAACAATTTTATAGTTTTTTCCATGTTGCAGAAACCTGTACACAGACTCTTCAAATGATAGTCTGACACTTCTATATGTACAATACAGCTCAAAATATTTGAAAATAAGGTGGCGCTATAGCTCAGTTGGTTAGACCACTGACTGTCACTTCAGAGGTTCCGGGTTCAATCCTGGGTAACACCCTTGGGATTTTTCAAAACACTTTCAGTGTTTCCCACCTAACTAGAGGTTTACTGGTACAAAACCCAGGTAATCCTCGCATGTACATGTATCAGTGCTATACACTGGGCATGTAAAAGAACCAAGGAATCTATTCAATAAGAGCTAAGGACTGGTTCCCGGATATCCTCATATTTCATAGCTGTGTCTGAGGTAAGGACCCTACTGGAAATAAGTGCTTGCACTTTCGTAGGTTATCCTTGACCGCCCAGTCTAAAGAAAATCAATCAATAAATTTGTTCCACAAATAGATAATATACCCCAAGACAACCCTACACTACCCCAAGACACCACAAGACTACGTCAAGACCACCCTAAGACACTTTTACTGACATGTAAATACGTCTTAATTTTACATTTTTTTACGGGAGGTAACTATGCGTTTTCACATTAACACATTGAATCTTTCTTTATTTATTTCCCTGTATTTTTTTAATGAAAGATTATGAATGTATTCTTTTTTGTGCAAAACAGTTTACAACAATGAAATAATGCTAATGTTGCTGGATTTGGGTGTAGTGAAAGTTTAAATCTGCGAGTCAACAATGTCATTTTATGAGTGACACATTTTTCATGCCTGATTATTAAATCAGTCATATTCTGTTTCATAATATTGATTTTCTTATATTTCATCTGCCCCACATTTCATTAGATTAACAGATTAACATGCATAGTCTTGTTGTTTTAGCTAAACCAAAATCGCAAGCTAACATTGCAAGCTTGTCACAAGCTTGCTGCAAGCTTAAATTGCAAGCTTGCTACTGGCTAGTAATTGGAACCTTGCGGCAAGCTTGCGATCAGTTATTTAAAAAAAAATCTGACTGCAAACTAGTTAATATTTAAGCTTGCGCAAGCTTAATCTGCAAGCCTGCACAGGCTAAGTCGCAAGCTTGTGCATGTATAACTACAAGCTTAATGTATAAGCTTGTGCAGGTTTATCTGCAAGCCTGCACAGGCTAAGTCGCAAGCTTGTGCATGTATAACTACAAGCTTAATGTATAAGCTTGCGCAAGCTTAATGTATAAGCTTGCGCAAGCTTAATCGCAGGCTTGCAAAAACTGTAAACCCTATTTGGAAAGGGAGCTGCTACGTATAACAGTCTCTGAATCCTATATAACATGCAAAAAAAAAAGGCATTAATTACCATGATAAACTTATTTAATCATAAATTGTAAAAAGAAGCTGATGTTAAATTTTTCATATACTAATGTTTTCTTCCAATTACCATGGTAAATAGTCCAGCCTTGATGGAATGACATTGAAAAAATCCAGCCTAATTCCAGCATCCCTGAATGTTCTTAAAATGTAAAATTCTGGGATGGAATTCAGCACAGGAATGTTTGGGGTAGAATTTTTATGAGTTTAACATGATCACATATTTCTTTCACAAAGTTTAATACATATCCTTTAGTCCAAATACAGAATAGAACAGCCTAATTCACTATAACACAGTTTTTTTCTAGCTGCAGGTTTTGGTAGGTTCTTGTTTTCTTAGAATCCAACACTTTGTTTTAAGCAATTATTTTGCTCTTAGTCTGTCAGTGACAAACTATTCAATCTAAAATTTGTTTTAAATGTTTCTGATTTCTTTTATTTTAACCCATGCTGACCTTTAACCCATTACTTCATGAGCATTTTGTGAAAAATGGCTGTTTTCATTGAAAAGTCTCCCGTTACAAGTTCAAATTGCTATAATACTATAAAAACTGCTTCAACACTAATCAAACTTGGCACAAATGTTGACTGGACCATTGCCCTTGCAACAACATGCTCAGGCTTAAATTTTCTGTTACCATGGCAACGAGGGGACATCTCAAAATTGCCAAAAATCACAATTTTGCGTTGATTTTTTTCCATCAAAATTGATTTCAAAGTGCTGCAACTTCTCAATGGATTGAGATAGAGTCAAATGCTTTTCAGCGTTGGTTACACGTTACCTTATGATCAACCTGGGGTCATTTACAGCCTCTCACAAGTCCAAAATTTTCTTGGCGCTGAGGGAGACACCGCCCCCCTTCAAACCCCCCAAACAGAAGGGGGCACATCCCCCTTCTGGCAACCCCCTGATGTATCTTTTGGTTGGGGGGCCGCGCCGAAAAAGAGGTCACTTTTTTAAACAACATTTCTCAAACAAAAACAAGTGTTTGGGGCCTAAATAAGGCATTTTTTCATCATTTGAGACAACAAAAAAGGGGGGGGGGGTGGTGAAAAAGGCGTTAAAAGGCGTGTATATGAAGTAATGGGTTAAAGATAAAATTCATAATTAATTAAATACAGATGCAGTAATGAACTATGTTTTATTGCATAAATGTAGGTATATTACATATCTTTTAATAACATCAAATCTAATGTTTCAACAGTATTAACTATTAAATATTAACTATGCTTATGCATTTTCAAAAAATACTAAAGCAATGCAGTATATCTTATTTCAATGTGCACAAATGTTTAAGAATTTCTCTGTATGAGAATTAAGTAAATTTGTGACAATATTTATTACCCAGTATGTATTTTTTCAAGAAAAGATGTGGATTAGAAAAGTATTTAGATTTAATAATATACCTTTTCAGGATTAATACTGCACATCATTATTAAACACTGCCGCTATTTCTCACAGTCAGCACTTATGTCCCAGCCTGCAAATTATTTATGTATAATGTAATTTTAGATTGTTCCATTGAAAACACAACACATACATGTAAAATAACAAATGATTATGATTGACCCTGTTCAGCTGTACAACTTAACTACTGATTGTACCATTTAGTCCTATTTAATCAAATTGATAAAATTTGTTTAATTTGCAGGAAATGAAAAAGATCTACTAACATGCTATTTAAACAATATAAACAATCATTAAAAAGAAATCATTGAATAATTTATATTTTACAGATTATACATGTATAGATTAAAAAGAATTATCAGAAAAACAAATGCATGAAGTTGAAAATATAAAACAACCTTGATCTCTTGTTACAAATGTTAATAATTTGATATATAACCTGTTTCTGCATTAATGTAACTTAAGGTTTATAAATACCTGATTCTGTTGTATATCTCCTTGTCCCAGGTGATTCTGATTGTTATCATACCAATACTTAAACACTTTAAATGTTAAACAAAACAATATCTCCAGAACTGCTAAAATATCAAGTAAATCCTCTGATCTCTTTGCTGACCCAGATATCTTAGAATTCAAATTTTACAACAGTTACTGTAAAACTGGACAGGTCTATCATTATGTAAAGCAGGGTTAATCTACCCATCATTTTAACTTTCATTCTTTGAGCGTAAAAGAAAATATCAAATAGCTAATAGATATATAGATTTAAAAAATCATTACAAATTTTTGTACAAAAAGATTGCAATGTCCTTCTAGACACATTCTGCATATGAAATTTATAATGTTATCTCTCCCCAAAATAATCACATGGAACAGCCTGATCTGTCGGAATGACCAGGGAGTAAATTAGTCATGCACAGATGGTCAATGAACTTTATCAAGGCTCTGATGTGTGTAGCATAAAATCTCAGTGGATGTAGTATTTATTTTCCTAAATAAAAGCAATATATATTGATTAATTTAATATAGAATATATATATATGAGATTATTTCATGCACTGTTTTTGTTTTGTTTATTTATTTATTTATTGTTATCCAAAAACATGAATTCTTAGAATTTAAAAATGGCAAGCAATGCAATCCCATCTTGATTATTATAGTGTCTGAATGATTGAATCACAGACTTTAATTAATTTATTGTTAAACTTAAAGCCTGTATTTAAATGGAAATTATTTAATTGTACATAACTTCATGTAGATTTGTTGAAATAATAATATGTATTTAACAATCAATTCATTTACTTCTTTTGCACAGACATTTTTTCTGAGATACCCTTTTCCAACTACATGAAATGTATAAAGTGTCAAATTTCAAATCATTTACAGTAACTTGCATTAAAATAGATGATGATTTTATATTTTCTTCGTAAATTTACAATACTGAGCTGAATATATAAAATAACTAATAATAAACTTTAGCGTGGTAATCTAGTTTAAACTAGTTAATTATCACTGATACTATCATTTTTGGAATTTTTTTTTTAATGTGTACACTTTTGACAAAAATTTTCTAAGTGTTTCAATTACTTTAACAAGAAATTTCTAAGTGTAGATTTGTACAAAAATTTTCTAAGTGTCTACTAATTGCAAGCTTGCGGC